GCACCCACAACGCGAAACTTCTCTATGAGACGTAGTTGTCAACGTGTAGGTTTGGCACTAACTGCCGCAGCAGCACGTATCCTGCCATCGACTCCTTCGTGATGGCGTCTATAGTCGAACGGAGAACACCCACACGTTCGTTCGCCTCGCGAAGCTTTGACTCCTTCCGCTGCTGCTGCTCCTCCTCTTGGCGCAGCTGCAGCTCGCACAGCTTTCTCTCACGAACGAGCTGCTCAATTTTGGCATCCAGTTCGCGCATCTCCACCCGAAGGGCGTCCTGCACCACCTGGTGGCGCTGCACAAGCTGCGTCACATCGCCCACCTCCTCCACTGCACTCTGCAGCTCCTCACGGTACACACGAACGCGGCGGTTTGTGCTCAGCAGACGCCTGGCGTGCCGCTCCGCCACATCTGCTGTGTCGCCATCACAGTGGCTGTAGATAATCTCCCGTATCTCTGCCGGCAGCGGACCTTCCAGCACAGGGAGGGCCCCGTTGCCCACTCCACTGAGCTGCTGCTGCTGCTGCTGCTGCTGGACGAGCGAGGAAGAAGACTGCAGGGGCGAGGACGGCGTGCTGTCGCTTGGATCTTGGGCCATCAGGGAACTGCAGCGTAGTGGATACGAAGCAGAATGTGGAGCCGTTGTTGGTGTCGTCGTTGTGGCTGTGGCTGGCTGATTATGCGACGACTTTACAGTGCGGCTCTGCGACTGTAATGGTCCGCCTGACCACACGCGTTGTGGTACAGCACGCTCCGGCCGTGCGCGGCTAGCGGGGCCCGGCGCACCCAGCCGCCCAGGACGATGCATGCGAGAGAGCGCTCCTGCTGCTCCGCGTTCTACCGCACAAGGAAAATAAAAATAAAAAAATAAGGCGAGAGAGCGGAAAAAAGAGATACAGACAAACGAACGGTGTGATACATACATATGTGTGTGTGCGTGTGTGTGTGTGACAGAAACAGAAAGACCACAAGAGCAGAGTAAACGGTACTGCAGCACGAGAAACCCGCAGAATTCCAAGCCCCCACACAAAGCAGCATGTTAGCCGTCATCCCTGCACAGCATAGTTAAGCACTGAGATGCAGTTCAGACAGATACTCTTATCGATTGCAACTGTGGTACGACACTACGCCCTCCAGCAGCTGTGTTGAATCACACAATGCATCGCAGCTGCAGAACGCAGCCAGCGCAGGCACACACGCTACAGCTTTGCCATAGTGAGGTGCTGTTTGCCAGCCTCCATATACACCTCCGACTTCGCACTGTAGCCGAGGCGGGTGTAGAATTCCTTAGAGTTCACTCGTGCGTGGAGGATGAGCGCTGGCGAGTGCAGCATGTCGCGCGCGTACGCCTCCAGCGCCCTGATCAGTGCGGTGCCGCAGCCCTTGCCGCGGTATTCCTGCAGCACGCAGACGCGCTCGATCTTCACGACGGGCTTCGCGTGCGTGTGGGCGCCGCAGTGCGTGAGTACACGGAGCCGTGCCGCGCCCGCGGGGGTG